CCCCCCCAACTTAGGTAGGCTTAATTAGAGAGAAAGTAGGGAAACATATTAGTGAGGGGGAGTTATTAGAGAGAGGGGGGCTAATTAGAGAAAGGGAGACTAATTAGAGAGAGGGGAACTAATTAGATAAAAGGTGACCTATTAGAGAGAGGGGAACTTATTAGAGAAAAGGAACTTATTAGAGAGAGGGGGGCATATATTAGAGAGGGGTATATTAGAGAGTGGATAAGAGGATTCTAATCTGAATGCTTTTACGTCATCTTGTTCAGGCTCCAAGAAGAGCTAAGCGTACCTGGTATATAGTTGTGTATCTTTCTTTAAACATGTCAGCTTTGCATGGTGCATCTGGATGTAAATATACACTGTTGGTTGTGTCCCTGGGAAAATGAAAGCACAATTTTAAATTATTGGACTGCATAGTATGGAGCCAGTCATCATGCTCGTCATATTCAGCAAATTTTCTCTCAATACCGCAGGCTCACATTTTCAGCGGACTTGTGCCGAAACTTTTGCACTTTGCACAGAACTGCCCACTTTCTGTAAGAGGTCCGCTGACAATACGAGCTCGCAGGAGTGGGAGAAATTTTGCTAAATTTGACCAACATGCATTGTGTAATATTTTCATAATCCAACAATCCACAATTTTGAGGATACTCAACTTTAAAAATTTCTTCCTGTCTGGACTGTATTTATACCGAGGCACTCTGAAAAATTATTTCATTATCATGACATTTAAAAACATTAACATCCAGGCACATACTGTATAAAATAAGCAAACAAGACTTACTCAAAAGCACTTATAACACAGAAAGCTTTATCGCTAGATAAAAAATATAAATATGAAATTTTAAATAAATATAGAAAACAATGAGGTGGTTGAATTTGTCCAAATTTACATACAAAAAAGTTTCCAACATGTAGGAAAAATACCAAAATTAAATCTTTCCACAATATTTTTTAGGATGTTCCATATTCTTAGCACCATCATAGCCTAGCATGCCAATGGGTCGTTCCAGAAAAGATTCATACTCCCCCCACGGAGGAAATTTCTGCCGTCCGGAGGGGGAGGGGAGAAAAAATTTGTTTCTGATAATAGTAAATGTATTAGGACATCCGAAGGGGGTAGGGGGTTAACTTCCAATTTCCTCCGTGAGGGTGGTATGGATGTTTTCTGGAATGACCCAAATATGCCATCAGAGTTTGGAATGCACACATGGTAAACATTGTCATCAACAGTCCCTGGATGAGATATAACAAATTCTCACCTGTCTTCATCCGGTTGCTCGCTACATTCCTGTACGGCAGTTTCAATTGCATCTTTGTTTATCAATGTTGAAGATACTGTCAGGAAATATTAACAAAATGTTAATGATTTCAATAAAGCCTGCCGCACACAAGAGAAACTTGCAGAGTGAACTGCATCACATGGTGTCTAGCTAAGCATGTCCCTCTTGTGTGCGGATAGTTTCTGTGAGGCTTTAATCTCTCGAGGAAATATCTATCACGTTTGATATTTTTCACCCAGTGAGAAAAAATCTCAATGTCTGCAGATGTGGTGAGCTTAGTGCTGAAATACTTGAATCAACTAGCCAATGAGAACCCATGGTCTCTTCATACAATCACTTTGGTCAAAATAACAATACACAGAAATGCAAACGATCTTATCAACGACATTGCTGTTGAGTAGCTCAGCAAGTTTCTCTTGTGCATGGCAGGCTTTAATAAAAGCAAGACTTCTATATTGTATTAATTTAACTACAATTTGTCTATTTAGATTTTATACCAATTATTTAACTTACAAGGCTGTTTCTGAACGCTTTCGATTATTCTGTCAAGCCATCCATCCAAATCATTTTCACTCACGGTTGCTAAAACTTCGCCAAGAAATCGCGAAGCTTCGCTATATAATTTGTATTAAAGAAAGACAGTTAGTATTTAATATAAACAATAAATTATTTGTGCAAAATAAATCAATAAACCTCAGAATTGCCAACCACAAGACAGTTTTATTTGACTGTTGACAAGTGCTTGGACAAGAAGGAATCGAGGTTGTATTTTAGAAATGTACAAAAGTCCAGAATGACCTACCTTTGTAAAGATAATCCATGCAGTTTAAATGTTTTCACTATTCTCCCTCGAGCAGCCATGTTTAAAAATTTTCGCGCGTAAACGCGGGAAAATGAAACGGCTTGGTTACCAAGTTCATGATGGTCCGCGAAAAATTCATCACATTGGCAAATAATTTTATTAAATTTTTGTCTTTTATTAGTTTTATATAAAACAACATTCAACTTGGCAAAACAACCATTCTACTATAGTATTTGCCAGATGTATTTTTAAAATAATACTCTTGACAATATCAAAGATTTTGTTTGGGAATATATAAATAGGATCAATTTATACTATGACGTAATCATGCACTTTCTTTTGATACAGTCTCTGGCATCTACGAATGAACAGCCCCGTACCCCCACCCAGAGCATGCCCGTTCGCAGGTTAGGGCAGGTATATGTCCACCCCCTAACCAGTGAACGGGCATGCTCTGTTACGAGATTGGCAAACATGGAATTTCACCAAAAATCATTTTAGTCAATTTTCAAGCTCGCTATGCCGTCCTAAATCTAACTATTAATTTTGCACACAACAATTTGCACAAAACAATAGTTTGAATTCGAAAGGGACAATAGCCTACTCAGCAGACCCCATCCAAAAATCTGAAGCGGAGGCTAAGGGGACAATCCGATCTCTTGTGCTGGGGACGAATAAAAAATAGTACAACATTCATTGAAAACAAACAAGCTTTATATACATCTTCAAAGTTATCAACGCTAAAATACAATCACACAACAATAATTGTTCCATTTCAACAATAAACGATCTAAAAATTCCTTAGACTCAGTGTACAATTTCACCATTCTTCGTAGAAAACTTTCTTAAAACTCGACTCTTCAAGATTCAGTCCATTTCATTCGTCAACCTAAATTTGGTGGAACCACTCTGGTGGTCTGTAATGTAAAACTATTTAAACCATTCTGGTGGTCTGTAATGTAAAACTATTTATAAAGAATGTTTCTGTTTGTGGATAAATTCTCAGCCACGATCCATCCTCACTTCAATCTCACGACCATCCATCATAGTCCCATTAAATGACACTAGAAGATTCAAGGTCAAGGAAAAACACTTCTACTGAAGCTAAACTTTATTTATGCTGGATAGTTCTATCAGTTCTGAACTATTCTCCTTGGAGGTCCAGTAAGAATTATCTCTTATTGATCCAGTGTTAATAGTACAGGAGGAACCTAAACTAACTTTATTTATACTGGATAGCTCTATCAGTTCTGAACTGTTCTTCCTAGAGGTCCAGTAAAGATCATCTCTTATTGATCCAGTGTTACTACAGGAGGAAACCCAGACTAAACTAACTTTATTTATACTGGATAGCGCTATCAATCCTAAACTGTTCTTCCTAGAAGTCCAGTAAAGACCAGCTCTTATTGATCCAGTGTTACTACAGGAGGAAACCCAGACTAAACTAACTTTATTTATACAGGACAGCTCTATCAGTTCTGAACTGTTCGTCCTAGAAGTCCAGTAAAAATCATCTCTTATTGATCCAGTGTTACTACATGAGAAAACCTAAACTAAACTAACTTAACTGTTGTATTTTACACTGGATAGCTCTATCAGTTATAAACTGTTCTCGCCAGAGGTGCAGTAAAGATCATCTCTTATTGATCCAGTGTTACTACAGGAGGAAACCTAAACTAACTTTATTTATACTGGATAGCTCAATCAGTTCTAAACTGTTCTTGCTAGAGGTCCAGTAAGGATCATCTCTTATTGATCCAGTGTTACTACAAGAGGAAACGTGAAGGACAAATTTCTTTAAAAAGATACAGACTGCACGAGAGGCCTCTTCCGCAGATTCGAAAAGAACTGTGCCACATCCTTTAGACCTCTTGCTGTCATCCATTAAAACATCAGCTCGAACAACACGACCTAAACAAGAAATGATAAAGCGATATTCAGAGTCTATATAAACGAGAATATCGGCGATCTCGGTTAACAAGATAAAATCATAAAATGTTATCAAGGCAAGTTTGATACTGTAGACTAGATTTTAGTACCTGCTTCTCTGAATTTGTCTTTTAAATCTTGCCAGGTTACTTTCCAAGGAAGCTGAAAAACATCAAGTTAACAAACGCAAGATTAATTTTCTTGTCGAAAATTAATTTTCAAATGGTAAAGGTAGGTTTCACTAAGCACCATCGTGCACTGCAGTTATCAGACCATCTGACTATAGCGACCTTGGGTCATACAATTCGACTTAAAAGGGTGGAAACTTACCGCGTCATCCTGATCTTTGCCTGATACCAGGATATGCGTTGATCCATGAGGTGTTCATGGCCAACCCAACACAACCCTCACAATCCCCACCCTCAAACCCACCCAGAAACAAACGCAACAAATGCCAAAATAAATTATTGAATGAAGACTACCGAAAATACATACAGAACTCCAAGGCAACGGAAAGATTATGCATTCAAATATCAAAATTTAGCACCCAATGAACACCCGAGCCAAATCACAATCTCCGTGTGCAAAATAAATCCTTTCCTTCGAAACGAACAATCTTATACATGGTATTAAATACAAAGCAAAAAAGTCATCTGATAACTTGTGAAAATGCCATTTCCAGTAGTACTGGAAAAATTTTAGGGGCTCGCACCTCCATCACAAAGAGATAAATCCAAGAAATAAACTTGACAAACAAACAGAGTATTTCATTTTGCTTTCAACGTATTATGAAGAATACATCATATATGGTAAATCTCCGAAGAAACGCAAATATAGAGAGTCTAAATACTGTTCACCCGTGACATTTGCCCGTATTTTTGGCCGAAAACTAAGAAAGCATCTCGCCGACAAACTACGGAACTGCAATTTAGAAATGACATATATTTATCTACAGATACTTTGAATATTATTTGACAACTAACATTCGAAGGCCTCATAAAGACCCTCAAGAAAAGATCTGAAACAGAGTTACCCAAATCAGACATTATCAACCAAATATAGTCCAGTCTAGTTTGTATTTTTCATTTCGAGAAATGTCACTAAGTATGATTTCCGCCACTTGAGTATAATACATAAAAGACCTGGATAAAACAGACACGCTAGATCTCCTCTACCAAACAGAGTTACCAAAGAGAGACTAATATCCACCACTTACATTGCGTACAAAAACTTGCTTCGCGGGATCGCCCTTGACTTGCGGTTGTGTCTCAGTGGCTGTACCATACGAAGCCTGTGTGCCACCGTAGCCTTGCATTCCATAGAGTTGCTGCATCCACAGAGCGTAGGGATTACTCATCGCACTCGCACTCAGACCACTACCATTTGCCGTGTTCAAAGCACTGGTATTCGAGTAACCACCTAACGACGATGTATCTGCGGCAGAAAGACCCTGCGAACTTTGGAACGAACCTGTCCCAGTGGCACCTGTCCCAAGATTCATTGCGGCCGTACCAAGCCCACCAAAACCGCTCAACCCAGCCATGTTATTCAAACTTGCCATACCACCCAACCCAGACATCTGGCTTTGCAGGCTTTGAAGTTGTAGCAATGCCAGTGGACTCACACCTCCTCCCAAACCGCCCATACCGGACAATCCTGCCAAACTGGTCAGACTGTTCAAGTTAGGCATGCTCTGTAGACCAGCAGTGGCAGCCAGGGTGGAACCGGTTTTTCCACCATCATTACCGCCAAACATGCTGAAATATGGCGACTCGCGATCCTAAACAAACAATGATAAGTTTAACTTTAAATGTTCAGTACAGGAGGAAGCCTACAATTTATTAACCAACGTCATTTGATAGTCAAGTAAGGCTATCTTTTATTCATCCAGTATTACTACAGGAAGAATTCTGAAGTAACCAGAATACCCTATATGTTGCAACTATTCCAGGGCTCAAAGTACAGTTGAGAAGAAATATGGCCTGCCAGTCTGAAATTTTTTGGCAGGTGAAATAAATTTTAGCCTGCCATTTTTATTCACTGAACTGCCAAAATGGCGATGTCTCATATGAGTCCTATTGTAAAAATCAATGTTTTTATGATATGCATTTTTATTATTTAAAAATAAACTTGTCTATTTTACTACAGACAGTAAACTTGGATTTACATTTCAAATATAAACGTATTTAGTCAACTAAATGAACTAGTATATATGAGTTGTGGTAAGAAAATGAAATATATCTATAGAATTTCACCTGCCATTTTTTACTTGGCAGTTTTTTTATATGGCCTGCTTTTGCCCAATGGCAGCCCGCTCTTTTGAGCCCTGATGAACAGACATACTGAAAAACGCATGCCCTAACCTATGCGACTTACCAGTCTGACATTCATGGATCTGTCATAAATCGATTTCCCATTCATTATAACTTTGTCAAAGTCAAGGCTTTTAAACAAACAGTTATGAAGTTAATTTCATTGGTGATACAAGCATAGGAGAGCTTTTACTGTCATCAAAAATACAACAACAGAATGGTTTATAATCTCAACATGTCAAATTATAAAAGGATACAGACAGCATTGATGGCTTCCAAAGGTGTTTCAAACTGCACAGTACCATGACCTTTTGATTTTTTGTCATGGTCCTCCGCTACGTCAGCACGTACAACTCTTCCTACACGGAAAACAGCCGAAAGAAAAGAATTATTTTTCCAAATTTGGTGTAACACATGTTTGGTAGAATGTACATTTCGTTTCTTAGAAAATGTTTACCTGCAGCCTTGAAGGTGTCTTTTAGTTTCGCCCACGTCACTCTGTAATCAAGCTAAAAAAATCGCCCCAAAATAATTACAGTTGGTTTCAAAGCCAAAACCGTATTGAAAGCACAACAAGAATTCCAATCAAAACAACCAAGTGACAAATAGTCTTATTGAAATTTGTTTTCAAAGCAAAATACTGACTGCTACTTTGGTAGCAATAAAAGCATACTATATGTGGAATAACATGACAAAAATAGAGACTTTATTTGTAAACAGGCTTGATATGCTGTATCTTGCAACATTGTACTTCAATGTTATCAAAGGCAGGAATTATTCTGAGTAAGCGGCTGTGCGAAGCGGTCTACGGTGTCTTAAAGTCATCCAAATAACTACTGTACACATAAGTTTATATTGATTAATTCGAACGCAACACAACTAAGCTCTGTAACCAAATTATAATGTATCACTACTTTCATTCTTAAACAAGATAACTTTAAGATTTAAGATGGCAAATAACTAAATCAGTTTTACGAATTAGTATGTCGTTTTCGAAAATAACCAGGCTATAAAGTAGAGCAGGTTGAAAAAAAATAACTTTGTTTGAAAGCTTAGAAGGAGAGCAGAATTAATCTTTCAAGTACTAAACAAAATAAACGGCGGTGAAAGTCCTGATATTGATTTGGCAACTCGGCAAACTCACATTGCTGACAAAAACAGAGCACGAAGCAGTGTCTGATTTAGAGCTCATCTGTTGTAGAAGACCAAACTGTCCGAGACCAAGCATACTCAATCCTGCAACACTCCCAAGACTTCCTGAACTGCTATGGTCTCTATCACGACTGCTCCTGTCTCGATCTCGAGGTCTTCGTGGACGTTCATCACGGTCTTGTTGATCCTACCAAAATATATAAGTGGCAATTGGATGGTAACACATTTCAATATGCAACATGCTTGCCTTGCCCAGTTTTCAATTTCCTCAATTTTAATGTAGAATTGCTTGATTTTTAAGTATAATATTCGCTCTTCTAACCTCTCGTATTTTCATCAATCTTCCTCGAAGATCGCTGTCATTCAATTCTCTGATGGCTCTCTGAGCGTCTTCTGTTGATGTGAACTCCACAACGCTGTGCAATGAAACGACATTCATTAGATATTACTTTCCAGTGCTCAAAATAACGGACGGTCGCCAGTCAAGGACCGACCAAATTTTAAATATGACCAGCCAAGTTTGTATGACGCCGGTCATAGTGACCACCCCATTTTGGCGCTCTGGGAACAAGATTGATTTTTTTGCTGTTGTGGACCCGTTAGTTAAATATTATGTAAGGATTTTCTTCGTATTAAACTTTTCATTTGAATTTGAGTTGTTGAATTTCTTATGCTAACTGCTGGTCAGATAACTTATAATAGACCAAATTAAGATACGACAAAGTTTATATTTAAAACTTTAATTGAAGTTAAGAGTGCTGCGAGCTGAAATTTGATGGTTGCTTAATACATTGAGTGAGCTTAGGGAGGCGAGTATTTGTGGGGTCTTGTGGGAGTTGACTGATCAGAAATCGTATTTGACTGGTCAAAATTGGAACTGAACAGTCATCATGACCGGCATAACGTGAACCGTTATTTTGAGTCCTACTTTCCCTTGCAGTTTAAGAACTATGGCTGCTGGCAATTTCTCAGAAAAATACCGAATCTACTTACCCACATCCCTGCAAATGAAAAGAAAGAAATAATTAAAACAATGAAATCATATTTTGGTAAAGGCAAAGAAAAATTTACAAGTATTTTTTTTTTTTGGGGGGGGGGGAGATATAATTTACCATGACACACCCTAAATTGCAAACTAAACTTTAGGACTTTAGTCAACATGCTGGCTTACTCCACAACACTCTGCCACTTTCTTTGACAGAACCACAACAAATTCCTCAACTTTTCTGATGCAACTCTTGTTCACATCTCATCCATTAGAAAATTATGAGAAAGATGCACGACACACAATGTACAGTAACCACAATGTTAAAGCTGTATGTCAACTTGGCTCGCTCAATGCTATCATCAAGGTTGAGAGAATAGTTCATTCACGAAACAACGTCAAACCTTGCATTTTTATGCACCGACTTCTAACTAAACGGAGTAAATGACACACGTTTCCAAAACTTCCCACGGCAAATGTTTCGAAATTACAAAACCAGAAACCAACTTTCAAAACCAGAGCGTAATTTAGCTCAAGAAAACAAAATTTTAACAACGTATCAGCCATTTTTCACGACTTACAATAGCAAAAACCGAACCATTTGTTTTCAAAGCCTTTTCAAGCTACCCAATTATTTTAACCCAGATTCCCATAAAGTTTACACATTCTCTTACAAGGTTACAGTAAAACTGTTAAAAGCTGCATTCGTTAGCCGGTTCCCAATTATGAATATAATTCTAGCAGGAACATAAAGATCGCAAACATTCGACAAAATCCTTGGATCATTCCTACCAGGAACAACTTTCATCCATTTGACACCAACTAACCTTTGACTTCCCCGTCGAATCTTCCATAATTTCAGCAAAAACAACATCACCAGCTACACAACAAAGTCAACTCAGTTTGGTAAACCATTAAACAAACAACAACTTCTCCTTTTGAAAAGTAAAATCTCTGGAGTTAGACATAGAATTATATAAAAATGTACGACACATTATCAAGTGCAGTGCACCTTAACAGGTCTGATACATAAAAATTCAAACCAGTGCTACACGCCATGCCCCTTGCATTGCTCAACAACTACCGCACACCAACTAATGTCAGCATACATTATGGAATCTAACCATATGCAAAAGTAACAGAATTCGAGGAGCGTAATTTAGCAACTAGTACTCCATATACAGTAGCAGTTTTTCAGTAAGTGTTTCGGGGGAAGAACGAGCAAGAAAATAAAATTGGGACATTCCTGAAAAGATCAACAATCCATCCACACAGGCAATTTGTGATGTCCAAAGGGGCAAGGGGGAAAATTACTTCTGATAATACAAAAAATTAGTTCTCATAATATACAAAATGTACTAGGACATCTGAAGCCCCCCCCCCCCTTCAATTTCCTCCGTGGGGGGAGTGTGAATGTTTTCTGGAGTGACCCATGTATTACATCTACTCACAACGTTCATCAGGACATGACGACAAGTTGGCAGACATGTTTTGCAACATAATGGACGCACCATCTCTTTATTCATTTGCAACCAAATACAGGGCCATTCCATTTAATGTACACCCCAATCCCCCTATGGACGAGGTCAATAAAATTTGAAATCCTAAGAAAAAAAGATCAAAGTGCCAACACAAACATCCCCCCCCCCACCAAATTAAGAAATTTTTGCCTTACCCCTCAGAAAAAGAGTAAAGATCAAAGGATGTCGATGCACTGAAATAGCTTTTTCAACCCCCCTCAGAAATTCTCGTCCATAGGGGGGGGGGGGTGTTCATTAAATGGAATGGCCCACAAGACTTTACGTACTCAATAAATTGTGGCGAGCAAAATATTTTAGAGCCAGGACACAATTAGCCAGCCATCTTTTCATTATGGAAATCAACTAAACTAAAAGTTATTATATTAGTCCAGTTACACATGCACTCATGCAGATCACTGTCACCAGCTGTTGCTATTTGACATCACTAAACGTGGCATAAAACCCAGAGAAAAACCTAAAATTCTGCAAGAAATCAACCAACTTCTAGCCAATATTTTTGCAAAACCTGAAGCCCTTTACTTAGACATTAACATGAATATCAAAACTTTAAGATCGAAAGCAAAAAAGGTGCAAAAAATCGCCATTCAAAATCAGCATCAAAATCGAACTAAATATTTTTATACATGTAACTTAGTTTCGTTTTTAAACGCGTCTGAAAACATACCTTTTTTCATGTGATCTTTAAGATCTTGCCATTTCAGAGAGAAGGGTAGATTATACACATAAACACGGTGTTCTTTTTTGCTCGATCTAGACTCGCGGTCAGGTCTAGACGTGCTGTACGGTTGGTAGCGACTAGAGTGTGTGGAGTCAAGCTTTCGTTCGCGTTCAAAATTACTCCGACGATACTCGCGTTCGCTGTCCGGTTCTCGCTCATCTCCGCGCCCGTGTTCCTCGCCTTCTATCTGCCTCGCTAGTTCTTTAAATTGCTCAACGCTTTCCGACATCATATTGTCGCTTTCTGAATGGTAAGACATGAATTTTGTGTTTTCAATTTTGTCTTTCTTTGCACGCGTCTTGAAGATGCTTGGAGATGACGAAGTGATGGATTGAAGGGGTTTACAAAGGTTAACTGGGGATAGAAAGTGGATTCAAATTATTTGAGGGTTAAATAGGGTGATGCAGTGCAGGGTTTAAGATAGCCTGCGAGCAGGCTCTCTGGGTGAAAGAGAGCCTGCTCGCAGGCTAGGTTTAATATGGTTAATCAGGGTTACACGGTGGACTAAAGGGGTTTACGAGGGCTAGATAAGGTTACACAGTGGATTAAAGTGGTTTACGAAGGTAACTGGGGATACAGATTGGGCTTACAAAATGGGATTGAAATGGTTTACGAGGGTTAAACAGAGTGATACAGTGAAATAAAAGGTTTAAGAGGGTTGATCAGGGTTAGACAGTGGATTAAAGGGGTTTACGGGGATATATAAGTTATACGGTGGATTACGAGGGATAAATAGAGTTATATCGTGGATTCACAGTGGCACCGAAGGATATTTGTTGTAAAATTGTGATTTAAAGGGATAAAGAGTGGATAAAGAGGGTTACACAGGAGGTTTTAGGTGAACGGTAAAAGTTGTGACAATTTATCATTTCAGTTCCAAATTTATTCCTAATTTCAATATTTAAATAAAGCAAGATGAACAACATAATTTACGCAAACTCGGAGCGCGAAACAGCAAACAAATGCATAATAATAGTGTTTCAGTGTTTCAACCCCCTTTCACGTTCGTCTCCAATTTAAGTTTAACCATGTTGGACTTTTTTAATATGGAAATGGCATATTTATATCGAGATTGCCAGAATAGACATAGAAACTAGCTAGAATACTGCAATCTAATTCAGTGGAGCAAAAAATCTGGCGAACTATAAAAACATTTCTACGAACACGGCATATTTTCCATTGTCGGTGAATACCAACCTAAATGAACATATACAAGTTTCTAGACGTTCTGTGGTTTTAAACATTTATTTAGTACGAGCTTTCGACTAACAGTCTCGTACCAAATAAATATTTCAAACCAGAAACGTCTACAAACTTATTGTGAATAACACTGGTCTTGTTTCAAACATATTTAAACTACATGAACATGTTCTGTGATTGGTTTCCTAGTCCCTAAAACAAAAGTGATCACTGATTGTGACTCGTTCTGCAGGACATTTATTCTTTACAGACTTTAATTGTATTTTAAAACGAGGATGAGAGTGTACGAGAGTTCGCGGTCACGCGAGCTTGGTTAGCTGTTCTTAATGCTTTCCCAACACTATCATGTATTCTATTTAAATTCAAACATAGTTGGAACATTCATCAAACCTTTATTTTGTTAATCTAGAGCTTGAAATGTCCCCTGTAACAATTCGTGAACTCTTATCCTCGGAGGTTTCTACTCAACTAATCACAAAACATGTTCTCGTATTGGTTCATGGCGACCCCATAGACATAGTTACTTTGTCAAAGCATAGCTTATCGAAGGGAAGATGGCTGTAAACTCATTAGAATAACAATATAACTCATTATCTATGTTAGTCAACGTTTATTGATAAATACGGTCCTTCACCGTCACGTGTGTATTGTATTTTTGCCAAATCCACCAATAGCAATTTCCAATTTACCCTATTGTTCGAGTCACGGATAGGTATAACTTTCCCAAAACATTGCTGTTGGTTAGTTGGGCAAAAACACAATACACACGTGACGGTGAAGGACCAGATTTATGAATAAACGTTGACTAACATAGATAATGACTAACATATTGTTATACGTTGACTAACATATTGTTATTCTAATGAGTTTCACAGCCATCTTCCCTTCGATAGGCTATGGTCAAAACATGATGTGTTTATTAGACCATAACGCATTGCGGATTTAAAATGGCCTCGTTCATTTTGATAATTCCTAATCATGAAATTCATCGTGCACAACAACACATCTTTCTATATTGTCTTTCCCACTCGTATAAATAGGCTAACTTCGTGCAATGTGCCTCCTTTGTACAATTGATATTAATTTCAAAATCAGTTTCAAACTGCCCTGCCGAAAATTAGGCGATCACGTATGGTGCATAAAATATTGTCTTTGACTTGATGTCTTTTACCCAGTCTACGTGTTGACCTAAAAATTTTGCTGACGTCGCTTTTTGGCTTCCATGGCATCCAGTATAGGCTGTCTCTTGCCTTGGTAGCGTTTTCGCAGCGTGTCTATTTCTTTTTCCATTTCTGAATCCAAAGAGTTCATGCGAGAAAGCAGTTCGTCGAAAGATAGACTTCGTAACTGGAGATAAAATGAATGTAAAAATTTAGTTATCATTTGAACATAAACTCATATACAATTATTTCAGTTTACGGAAGCATAGAACAGAACAAAGGTGGACCAGTAATGGATGGAGGTTGCTCAACACCTTAGAATAGTTTAGAACTGATAGAGCTATCCAGTATAAATGAAGTTATGTTTAGTTTAGGTTTCCTTCTGTAGTAACACTGGATCAATAAGAGATGATTCTTATTGAATCTCCACGAAGAACAGTTAAGAACTGATAGAGCTATCGAGTATAAATAAAGTTAGTTTAGTTTAGGTTTCCTCCTGTAGTAACACTAGATCAACAAGAGATGATCCTTACAGGACCTCTAGGAAGAACAGTTTAGAACTGATAGAGCTCAAGTATAAATACAGTTAGTTTAGTTTAGGTTTCCTCTTGTAGTAATACTGGATCAATAAGAGACCTCTAGGAAGAACAGCTTAGAACTGATAGAGCTATCCAGTATAAATAAAGGTAGTTTAGTTTAGGTTTCCTCCTGTAGTAACACTGGAGCAATAAAAGATTATCCTCACTGGACCTCTAGGGAGAACAGTTTAAATCTGATAGAGCTATCCAGTATAAATGAAGTTAGTTTAGTTTAGGTTTCCTCCTGTGTTAACACTGGAGCAATAAAAGATGATCCTTACAGGACCTCTAGGGAGAACAGTTTACAACTGATAGAGTTGTCCAATATAAATAGAAATCAGTGAGATCAATGCATGTAGCTACTTACAAATTCAAAATCTCCAGGTCCAAATTTCTTGGGTGGACTAAAAGGCGACTCTGTTCTTCTCATCACGACTTGAGAATTAGTTGAGCTATCTGAACTTCTTCTATCATTAACGTGATTAGTTGTTGGAGGCGTTTCAAACATCTTATCAAAGTGATCCATAAAGGAAGGCCGGTATTCATCTTTTGACTCTGTTGTACCCAGTCCTGGAGAAGGAAATTTGAGAGTAATACATGAACAACTTTGAAATATCTGCACACTCGTAAAAAGCACAAGTTGTTACAGGTCTGCAAACAAGTTGTTACAAATCTGTTCACAAGCTGTCAACAAGTTGTGTTCGCACTGCTTGTTCCCAGTTGTTGTAACAAGTTTGGAACAAGCTGTTAACAACTTGTAACAAGCTTGATAGCATTATCAGACTTGTTCAAGGTTGTTCTCTAACAAGTCTGATACAGTCATGATATAACAAGAATGTTACAAGGTTGACCACACAAGGTTGTGACAATATTGTTGTATCATGACTGTATCGGACTTGTTTGAACAACCTTACAACAAGTCTGATAATGTCAATAAGATTGTTACAAGTTGTTAACAAGTTGTTCCATACTTGTTGACAACATGGGAGAATTAAGCAGTGCGAACACAACTTGTTGACGGTTTGTTGGCAGACTTGCTTGTAGATGCGAGATTTTTATGTGACAATGTGTAGTATTTGCATTATAGACTAAATTTTGATCTCAACAAGTCTAGACAAAAATTTCATCACGCTTGAAAGAGCATCACAAAATTAGTAATATTCCAAAGTTTCGTTGCGAAATGTTGTAAAATGCGGATAATATAGCCTTGCGAAGTTTGCGGTTTTTCAGGCACGTATTACAAACGGGAAATTGACAACCCCAAAGGGTTTGGGCTGTCAATTTCCCCCGCGTAATGCAAAATGACTGAAAAACGGCAAACTTCGCAAGGCTATATTATCCGCATTTTACAACATTTCGCAACGAAA